GCATTCAAAGCAAGCTAATTCATAACTCCTGCACTTGTTGACTCAGTTTGCACCATTCAATCACAGAATTTTTTCAGATCTTACTAGAATAGGTGAGGAACAACTAGAGATTCAAGACTCAAGCTGGAAGAGTGTGGATCCCCAAGCATCTGATTCACAAGGAAAAATTCCATCAAGATGTCCCGCTTTAATCACTGGGCAAAAAGTTCATACACAGATTCCCGCTCACTCACAATTGAAAAAAACCCAAACACCACCAGCAAAGTTGACAGTTTGACAAAGGTGGCAGTTTGAACATTTGTTTATTAACATTTGATTCCACACAAGAACCTGAAGAGAAGATTTTCAGGGGGAAAATAAGATATGAGAATCATCACATAAAGAAATTCACGTGCTTCCTTCACCTTCCTTTCACTCCTGAAAACAACTTCACAAAATTGCTTAAATGGAGAGCTCCTTACAATCCAGAGAAGGCTACAACACTGCTAAGAATTTAACTGTAAGGGACTTCCACCAGTTTTGTTTCGTCAGTAACTCATGTCTCAGAGCTGTCTGATAGAGGTAAGGCTCGCAGTGGGAGCAGTGCTCAAACCACTTCTGAAAAATCTGCTTAAGAATTTACAGGTTTCTGGCTTACTTGTCAGAAAAGATATGAGTGGAAAGGAGAGGGATGGGAGAGAAAGAATGGGAATAATTTCACTATATACTTGAAAGCAATCAAGTAGTTCTCTTCAGCTATGTGAGAGACCTTTTTTCCCTGCAAAAGATAGCTTCTTTCCTTACATGGACTTGAGCGGTTGGTTTGTCCTTCACATCTGAAGAGGCTGTTTCAACCACTAATTGCTTCTGGTTAGGAAGAAAGATTATTTATTCCACAAGCATGGCTCCCTGCTTTTAAAATGTAGAAAGGTCAGAGTGCTTATGGGGTTTTCTGTTTGTTTTATATCAATAACAGAATGTGAATGCAGACAGCAATGCGGATACCCAAGTCAGCTCTAAATCCATGGAGCCCCAGAAATGAAAACAGCCTGGTTGTCATAGCAGCGGTGCACGGTACCTGAGCTAATTACTCAGTCTGAGAGGCAGAGCTAATTAGCTCAGATGCAGCATCACACTGACACAGTTATAATCCTTCTGGGACCTGGGCACACATACTGCTGATTAGACATTTCAGCTTGCTTGCAACCAGCTCAGAGATCTCTGCGTACTACACTGTCCTTTATGCAAGTGTTCAAAAAAAAACCCCCAAAAAACAAAAACCAAAGACAAACAGGAAAAAAAGCAAAAATATGTTCCTACAAAGAAAGCAGTGGAAAAGAGCTCTCAAAAACACACAGAAAACTCTGAACACTGATCTGCAACTCTTCTGCAAGAGAGGAGGATGCCTGTATCCACAATACTACAGGTCAAACAACACTTGAAATGGAAATCTCAAGAGCATGGATACACTTCCAACTCCCAGCCAAACGAAAGTTATTTGAAAAATTGGTTCATCATTATGACAACCTAAATTCAAAAAGTTCCCCATTACCTAAAAATGAAAAACCCTGAATTAAGTTCCTGACAGAGAAGAAGGTAAATACAATACTACCTGCTTTACAGATTGTGAATACTGTGGAAAATAAATACCTACTACCGACTAATAAACCTGTTTTTTTCAAGGACTGGAAACAGCTCCCCTCCTCACCCCACCCCAGGAAGAAAAAGTAGTTTAAAACTAACTTCTTCATCTTTCTAAAGTACTATCTGATCTAAGATCCTCCCTCTAGAAGCAATGCATTTTAAAAGGGTAAGAAACAAAAAGTGAATAGGTGAATTTATCACTCATCGTTAACCTTTTTTCTGACACAGAAACACAATGTAACATCATGGAGATGTTACAAACATCATCACAGACAAACTGTGAAAGGCTGCGATTTTTGTTGGTATTTTTCAAGAAAAAATTAGCAATATAAAGGAAAAATTCTTTAAGCAACTATTTTCACTTCTTTGTAATCAAAATCAGCAAAGGCAACAAACATACAGATTGAGCAGGCAAACTAGTGGAAAGATGGCATTAAAAGTGATTTAACCCCCGTACAAATCTAATTATTGAACTGAGATGCTTTTGGTAGTTCAATAGGACAAACTTCTAATTTATACCAAATGATTCTTTAAAAACCCAGAAAGATTGCTGAAGTCATGCTCAAAACAAATCTCTCGTGTTTCAATGGACATTACTGTATGCACCAGAACATGCTACATAGAAAGTAACTTATTAAATAAATACTCAGAAGAGTTGAAAAAGGACATACATGTTTGAATATTGATTTTTATTTATTCAATTTTAAATTGCACAGATCTTTTAAGTTTGCCTGCAAAATACATTAATTTTACAATTTCTTAGTATTAATAGTTTACATCGCATGCCTGCTTATTCATATTTACAATAGGTCACTTCTCATTTCAGAAACATCTCTAAGCAAAGCTGGAGGATGCTAAGAGGTTCATTCAAGCATATGTGCTGCCCAAGAGAATGGGATAAATATATAAAAATCAATGTTTCTCTAAACAGAAAGGTATTTTTGTCAGGGTCAATACTGATGCTAAATAAAACAGTTTGGTGCCTAAACGATTTCTAATTAAAGTCAGGAATAGGCACTCATTCCTCACCTGCTTACAACTTTTGAAAGAAATGTCATGCTAAGTGCATTTTACATATATTCAGGTATCAAACAATACTAAACACTATTAAAATGGTAGATTTATAAGCCTAGCAACACTTTCAAAGTTTGCTGAGGAGCCTCCTCCAAAGCTAGTTGTCCTCCCTTCAAGTTAATGATCACAAAGTTAGATATATTATCAGTAAGCATTTAGATCCAACGCTGGGAAAGAAGGCTGGAGAATCCGAGACAATGTCAGTGAAGCAAACTGAAAAGAAGAAAATTGAGGGAGATAAAGCAGCCATTGAGATTCACAAGGAGCTGTTCTTTATCAGAAATGGAAACAAACAGGAAAGTCAACAAAATCTTCAGAGGGAAATCAAAATGTCATAATAGAGCATATAATCTTCTCATGAAAAAGAAACTTGGTCTTCTTCACAAAATACAGAAGGTGCCCAGATTTCCATACCTCATTTCCATTAGGGACAGCTTAGTATGCATTTTACCCTAAGTGGGGTAAAATCTCTTCTGATAAAGTTCTTAATTATTCTAGAAAACGGGCATGTTACTGGAAATTGGAAAGAACAGAACTGTCTGCCAGGATTTTAACCCCGTTCAAGATGTTACTTGTGCCCACTGCAAAAATTCCAACACAGAAATAAATCCCCCAAGCACACTATAAACTGAGGGAATAAGTAATTTTTGCTTCCTTTCTCCTATCATTGCTGTATGAGACCAGAAGGCCACTAAAGCAAGCTCAGCAGAGATACCCCTGACAGTACAAAGTAGAGTACTGAAAAAAGATAGGAAGTCACCATTAAAAAAAAAAAAAAAAAAAAACACATCAGCTACTTGAAGTGCTGCTGCTTCCCAGCCAGTAACAGAAAGCTTTTCTGGGAAGCAACTGCTTCAGCATCATATGGTTGACAGTGGGCATTCAGCCTGCATCAGTCAGTAACAGGAGGTTTAAAAAATACAAAACTTCTGAGATGATAAGAGAGCTGCTTTCCCTAACAAGGGGAAAGAAAGGAAGCACGAATTAGAGAGCAGCAGGGGAATGAAGATATAGTTATGACATGCCTCCATCAAAAGCTTGCATTGACAAAAATAAAAACATATGGCCAAGGATTCCTTTGGTTTAATGCTGCCCACATTCTTAGAAAGAAGCTTGTGGGGTTTATTTTTCATACACACCTTTAGGAAAGTGTTAAAAAAATGCAAACAGTATACAACTACTTTCACATAAGCTGCCAAACAAGTCTGAAAAATATTTTAGGGAATCTGTGTGAACAGTGCAGACATTGACAGAGGCTAGTAATCTAAACCCTAAGCTCCAGCCTTTTCGCAGAATGCTTCCAGAGCTTCAGCCTTTCCTATCATCCACAAAATAAGTTTATTTCCTTAAGCTATGAAAAAGGGTTGCTGAAGCTACTGATGGTTCATATTTCTTTGATGCTTTTAACTGTACTTGAGACTTCACCTTATACTTAAGAAGGAAGAAAAGGGACTTCTACCCACATCGCTTGATGTCCAAAGGTATATTCCCAATAACAGTTACAAAAGGAAGAGAAAGAATTTCTGAATTGTGGGTTATTTTCAATTCTACTAAAAGCAAATCATAGGAAGCTTCAGGACACAGTAAATAGTTTGGTTGTGGGTGCTACAGAGAGAGTAGAGCTCTGTCTTTCCCTCTTTTCAAGGCTGAGTTAACTGAAAAAAAGACAACACATGAAAGATTCATTAGAAGGTACAATGTGGCAACAGAATGCTAGAAAGACCGCTGCATGCCCGGTAATGGAGACTGCTTAAATAGAGTATAAAAGGCAGGCCACTGGCTGCTGACTTGATGAAGTATTACAGAGGAAGAAATAAGATCAGTGCTTCATCCAGAGGAAATCTTTCTTGCTAATCAAAGTCAACCGAAGCTTGACTCCTTCCTCTTCAGTCTAAAAAACCATCATTTTCCTAGAAAGAAAGGAAAAAAATAGCAAAGTTAAGGTAGAGCTACACCTACTAATTCTTGTAATAAAAAAATATGGGAAGAAACAGAAAGGGGAAGTAAAGATACACCTACCTTGTTAAACAGATCTTTTGTCTCCTTTTGCTGATGAGTGTCTCTGTGAGGATTTGTACACTTTAGGATGATGACAGGAAAGTGAGAAAAAGAAAGGGTAGGCTCCTGACAAACAAGCTTTAAATAAAATTATTCCTGAATGTAGACAATATTTCTATATAAATCATGCATACGAGGAGTACCAATCCATGTGCCTCCCACATCTTTACCAGCAGTTGCACTAATACACATATTCGTATGACTATCAGATTTATTCTATACAACTTGATTCCAACGTTCTGTACCTCGACATCCTGAACACTGGATAAAGAAGTTGATTAAATCCAGAAGTGCTATGTCCCTGTCTTGTTTATATGATTCAATCCAGTCGTCCACCACAGACTGTCAAGAAAAAAAGAATACTTATCAGAGACTCTTAAAAAGTATTTTATTAAAGGCAAATGACTTATTCTTTTCAGAATATAATTTTATAACTGAGCATTTATTTGGCATAATTATACATGTGTACAAATTCAGAAATCTATACACCTTCTCTCAGAGTGGAGACAGAACAAATATTGTTAGAGAATAAAACTATATGCATTTTTTCTGGTATTATAATTGTATAAGCACAGGATCAAATTGAAATTACTGTAATTCCTCAAAACTCTATTTGCAGGATTTTTCTAGTTTCAAAATTGTGTTGAAAAAACAAACACTGATTACATTCAGAATGACCAACACATATTCCCAGAAAACTGATGAGCAGAAACATTTTGGGATAAAAACTGCATTTATATTGCATAGTGAACATCTCAGTATTTATAAAGGCCAAAATAGTGCATCAGTCATTCAGAAACACTGTTCAGAAAGACAGAATGCAATGAGAAATACTCTGTAAATAAAAATAATATACAGAGGTTGGTCTTACAGTGTTTGGGATTCAATACACCACTTGAATCACAGCATATGAAGCTGAGTCACGGTTTCAAACTGCACTCAGAACTGTAAGTAGCCAGGAGATATTTTTATAACCACTGATACGCAGGCGTAGCATGCAGTCATTATTATGAATAATAGCAGGGAGGAGGACAGACAGCATACAGGTGTCAAAAACATTTGTCATTGGTCATACATTAATCTCTGGGGACAGAAAATGTGCCTCAGTAGCTTGATGAGAAAGGGCACTAAATGAATTGTGCCAGTCAACATAAAAATGCAGTCACAGCATCAGAAAGAGTTAATGGCAGATATACATCAGCTGCAAGGAATGTAGAGACATACAACAGCAAAGCCTATAGCTGCTTCCCATACAGATACTCTACCCTACAGTACTGACACAGAACCCTACCAGAGCTGTGCAGACCCACAGTTTTTAAAACTCCAAATGTATGTAAAATGAAGCAATGAGGACAAAGCAAACAAATTAACTATGGAAATGCTTAAAAACTGTTCTAGAAAAGCAAGAGGGTTGTGTGAGGTCCTTCTTCAGCCTGCTTCCTGCTTAAGGAAGACAAGTATGGCTTCCTTTCATGTCACTAAAATACAATATTCCAAGTTCCTCAGTTACACAAACATTGAAGGTCAGGAATTGTGTATATTTAATATAACAAAATACTATGTTTTATATATTTTATGACAAAAAGAAAAATCTTTATCATTCCATACATGTGGCAGCATTCATTAACAGAAGATCGATTATGCTATCAGAGCACACCTTGCAATGCATTATTTTGTTTTGGAGTTCAGGTTTACAACAGATTTCTTTAAAATTAATTTTAAAAAATCCTAAACACATGAACACACACTGCCACCCCCACACAACCAGCTTCCAATTGTGCTGAAAAAGAATGAATGGAAAGGCAAAATCCAAACAATTCAACCTCTTAAAAAAAATTTTCCTATTTCTGAACTGGTAGATATAAGAATAGATCTTGAAAAACTCCTCTGCAGTTCCTAGCTTATCCAAGTACAAACTTCCCTGATTACCAGTGGGACCTTAGCAAGTGTATGCAAAAAGGGAAGCAGCAAGAAAACAGTTGTGTATGTACCAGAGACATACACAACTCTCTGAACCAAGCCAAAACACTCCATGTTTAACACAGATCACTATACTCTGTTCTTAACCCAGCACAGGATGAGACTACCAGTGTTACTGTGGTATTCAACAACCAGCATGAATCTCTAAACATTCAATTTGCCAGCAAACTAAGTTTTTAGAGGTTTTATCTACCAATACACACACACATGCATGCACAGTAGGAGAAGCAATCTTACGAAGAGGTCCATCTGCTACTTAAAAGAAATTAAAAAGGAAGCCTTGACCTCAAATTAATCTTCACACAAGCTGAGGAAACACAAAGCAGCAGCACAAAACCAGTTATCTAGAATGCTTCACTGTTACTTCATCATGAATTTAGACTTGTTCCTGTAAGTATCAATCATATCGATCAGCAGAATTCTCATGGGCACATAAAACCAAATGT